CACATCCTCGACGATGGCATCTCAAGTTTATATCGAAGAATAGGGGCAAAGCTATCTTTTGGCCTGATTTGACCAGCTGCCATCACTCCAAGGTGGTTCTGGAGTGGTATGCTGCCAACAAGATTGATTTTGTCCCCAAGTTAATGAATCCTCTGAATTGCCCGGAATTTCGACTAATCGAAAAATACTGGGTAATTTCAAAGCAGCGACTTCGACAAAGCGGCGGGGCAGTCAAGGACATCCAGCAAATGCGGGCAAAAAGGAAGAAATGTGTTGATTCCGTGTTCGCTTCCACTGTGCGGGCGCTGATGGGCTCCATCAAGAGGATGGTTCGAGATTCCGTTTGAACTGGAGAAATGGAACCATCTAATGCTGTAAGTTTGAAGTTTTAATAAAAGCTCTGTAAAGCAACCATTAATGGACTTTTTAAACTTATTGAATCACGAATTACAGGTCTTTTTGTGCGCACCAATTTACTTTTTAGTCAGCCTTTATATCCACCTAATCGACGAGCTCATGGTTGGAGCGGTTGACCGTGTACCGAACCGTGGGTTGCTGTGGCAGCCAATTACCAGGGAGCATCTCAACGACTTCGATTTGGCTGATGATGTTGCCTTCCCGCATAAACGCGAACCATAAATTGACCTTACCTAAAATGGTTAAAAATTGTTTATAATCCCTGCTAAACTTTAACTGAAATGGTTATGGAACTTTACATGAACGTTTAATGATAAAGTTTCAACCTTATGTATTATGGTTTTTTGGAACTGGACCTTACAAATAATGGGTTGTTAAGAACCATTACCATTACAAATTCTAGTTTTCTCCATACATTTTCAGAAAGAGAACTATATAAGAACGTTTTTACTTATGATTTGAGAACATTAATGGTAATGGTTATGGTAGTCAGTAAGGTCCATTAATGGTTTTGTATTATCGCTCAACTTTACGTGGAATATATCGTGAATTGGTAATCAGTAAATTACAGGCAACCAATTCGCGATATATTCCACATAAAGTTGATCGATGTTACAAAACCATTCGTGGACCTTACTGACCATACTACCATAACCATTACCATTAAAGTTCTCAAACCATAAATTAAAAGGTTCTAATATAGTTCTCTTTCCGAAAATGTATGGAGAAAACAAGAATTTGGAACGGTAATGGTTCTTAACAACCCATTATTTGTAAGGTCCAGTTCCAAAAAACCATAATACATAAGGTTGAAACTTTATCATTAAACGTTCATGTAAAGTTCCATAACCATTTCAGTTAAAGTTTAGCAGGGATTATAAACAATTTTTAACCATTTTAGGTAAGGTCAATTTATGGTTCGCGTTTATGCGGGTTATTAGCACAACAAACCGTTCCAATTTCACGGTAGCTGGGCAGGCAGTGGAGAAAGTTGAAAGCTTCCAATATCTTGGCAGCCAGATAGCGTCGGACGGCGGCACCAAGAGCGGCATAGGTGCACGAATTAAGAAGGCGAGGGCTGTTTTTGCCAGTTTGCGAAATGTATGACGAGCAAATCAGATCAGTCGACGCACCAAAATCCGAATTTTTAACTCGAACGTGAAGTCTGTGCTGTTATACGCCAGTGAAACATGGTGTGTATCAGCGGAGAACACTCAGAAGCTGCAGGTGCTTATCAACCGATGCCTGCGGTACATAATTCGTGTCTGGTGGCCCCACAATTGGATCTCAAATTCCAAGCTTCATCGTTTGTGCCATCAGAAGCCGATAGAGACAGAAATTCGTGAACGGAAGTGGAGGTGGGTCGGCCACACACTACGATGGAGCGGTAACGAAATCTGCGAGCAAGCACTGGACTGGAATCCAGCAGGACATCGCAGCAGAGGCAGACCCAGAGGCGCGTGGCGGCGGAGCCCAAACAGTGAAATTAAGAACGTTGACCGAAATTTGACTTGGCCACAGGTCAAGGCCAAAGCTAGTAATCGCCTAGGATGGAAATCTTTCACAAAGGCTCTTTGCACCCGGAGGTGCGCAGTATCGTTAAGTAAGTAAGTATCCTTCCTTTGACGCCTATTGCTGGTCCATTAGAGTGATGCAAAATTTGAAATTTTCGCTCCACAATACTTAAACGATTCCAAATCGGATCCTGACTAACCTCTCAAAATTTGAGCCCATTTGGTGAGAGACTGAGATGGCACAAATCATTTGAAGTTTGTATGGGAATTAGTATGGTAAATTTAAATTTTTTTTTCATGTCTATCTAATAATTCACCATATTGGTCTACTTCAAAACTTTCAATTGTACTTGTAGGAAATTTTCCCAGCTACAACTTTGCTGAAGATCACTTTTTGATTAAATGCAAGGATCGAAAGTTATCAATGCGCTGATGTCTTATGATCATGCTCAATCAACTGCTCAGCAGGCAACATTGGTGTTTCTGGGGCGTTGAATACACGGATAGAAATCTCCTTATACCTTTTGGCAAATTTCTATTGCTGATTATTCATAAAATGTATAAGTCAACTAATAAGCAGACGCCTTGCAAAAAGTTTATGAAGATCATGTGTCAAATGAAATGTATAAGCGGTCACACATACCTTTTATGCATTCTTATAGGACCTATATGGTTTGTCTTATGGAATGTATAAGGCTGATGTTTGGCAAAAATGTATAAGTGAAACACATGAATAAAATAATTGATTTTCGTTTCGTGTAGGACACAAAAATCATGGCTACTATGTCACACTGCAAAATACAGTGTTGCCTACAGAGCAGCTGCTTGATCATGTCATAAGTTTATCAATCTCTTAAATAATTAATAACTTTTTCCTGTCTCGTTCTACATAGAAACGGTCTTCAGCAAAGTTGTAGCTGAGAAAATTTTCTATAAGAATGGTTATCGAACTGTTTCGCAGCTCAATATGGAAAAAGACTAGAAGGCAATGAACAAAAAGTTGAGATTTCCCATAGTAATTTACATGTAAACTTCAAATGGCTTGTGCGAAGTCTGTTTCTAACCAAATGAGTTGTAACTTTGGGAGGCTAATCAGGACCCGATTTGAAACCATTTAAGCACTGTGGAGCAAAAAAGTCAAATTTTGCATCAGTCTAACCACACGGCCAAACTGTACCAAGTTGACGTGGTGGTAGTCTTTGCGCTGGCTTGGAGCAGGAGCCACGTTGATGCTGACTTCAGCCATCACCGGTTGGTGGTCGGAACTGAGATCATTGTGCATCTCCGGCTTGGATAGTCCGATGTTCGACAGGAAAAAGTCCGCCGGAGAGATGAAAGTTGATTCGTCCGGAAACTGCACAGTGTACAGTCCAAGTTGAGCGTGGTCGAACAATAGACATCCGTTCCGGTTCCGCCAAGCTTCATGGCGGGCATGCAGGTCGCCCCCAACGATCAATCGAGAGCTAGTACGAGTGGTCAGGTCGCTCTTGAATTGTCTTGCTAGTAAACAGCGATGATCCGGACATTTACAGTTGGGGATTCTACGACCACACTAAAAGCCTCGATGATAGAAGTGCGGTTGTGAGGCAGAGCTCAGAACTTGATTCCTTTCTTGATGACGACCGCAACACCACCCCTGAAGCTGGTGCGATCAAGCCGGATAATGTTGTGGTCAGGCAACCAGAAGCTGTCGCCGGACTTTGACGGTGGATCTCAGTTAGAAGGCCCACGTCGATGTTATGCTTGCGGAAGAAGTTGGCAAGCTCAATATTTTTTAAACTTATAAAACAAGCATTCCAAGTGACGATAGTTAGCGGCTTAGACGCCATATTGGATGCTGAACTAACCGAGGACTTGGATCAGCTCGGGCTTATTGCGGCACTTACGAAGAGCCCCGGCATGTTGACGAAGATTTCCATCAGTTCATCAGCTGAGAACAGATCGGGGTTGTTGTTTTGCGCTGTTGGTTGTCTCCAGCGTATTCTTGAGCGCAGTTCCTGCAGCGTGGCTTGATGTTACAGTTGCGGACACCGTGTCCAAAATTGAGGCACCGCTGGCACTGCGTTACATCACGATTGGCCGTACGATGATGGAGTAGATCGAGCGGATGGCTTGCAGCGCATTGAGCGTCACCGTCCTTTTCTGGAACTGCACCAGGAAGAGACAATCCGGGTACGTATTCACGTTTTCGTCTCTCCTCGTCATCCGGAAGACAGCGATTGAGGCCAGCTTTTATTGGTCCTTTAAACACCGAATTGTTTTAACTGTAGTCTTAGCTTACAAGTAATATCTTGATCAAATGGAACGGACACTCGTTTCAAGGGTTCAGGTGCTGCGGTGAGGGTTGTAAATAATCGCTTCTCTAGAATTCTTGCTTTTTTTATCGATGATTGCCTGGATTGTGGTCTCTTTGTATCCGTTGAGTCTCGCTGTTTCGAAGATGTACTGTAATTCCTTAACCTTTCCTGTAAGGTGGAAAGTCTACATCAGATGAATCATGTGGTGGAAGGCGGCCATTTTCTGCTGGAACGTATGGTTGGAAGTATAGGGGATAACTCTTTTGGTGCTTGTTGGTTTCCTGTAAATTTCGTATTCAAGCAAAGAAGATGATTTTTCTTCAGTCGAGTATAAGGATTAAGTCACCAAAACATTATTATTTATTAATTTAGTCTTCACAATTAATCAGTTTCACTTATATTTATAACAAAGTAATCTTCTTCTTCTTCATTCCTTTATTTAACCTCGGTCTCTGTTCCGCAATCTAGTGCCAAATAAAGAGCCTGAATTTATAAAGAGACGACATCTTATCCATTTGAGATTAGCATTGAAATGTTTTATTATAAAAATATGTTCGGTTTGTTGCCTTCCCGTAAAAAAAAATCCAATAAAAATACAATACAATACAATTGTTTTTTTTTTTATTGTTTTACCAATTAACTCAACATTTGAACACCGCTTTATTTTTCCCCAATTACATGGCTGGCACCACTTCCCCCGCCTTGACATTTCTCGCTGTCAGTGAAAATTTGCAAAACAACTCCACCACCCACCACCGTCGTCAGTCAGTCAGTCGGGTCGATTTTGTGCTCGGAAAATGGCTGCATGAGAGAAAACTGCAAGTCGTAATCGCGGAAAATGTTTTAATTGGACAGAAAAATCAATAAATTATTGATAACAACGATTCGGCAGTGACAAGATTGCTATCAGTGACTGTTCTATCCAGGCCATTAATTGGATTGCCATCGGTGCAATGGTAAGCTGCTGACTGATTCTATTGATCATGTGTGTAATTCTATTAAATGGTTTGTTTGATTGACAGGACGTCAACAAAGATTCCTCCGGAGGCAGCGGTCCGGACAAGGAGGGCGGCAAGAGTAATCTGAACCTGACGGCAGACGAACTGAAGGAGGAAGGCAACAAGTGTGTCAAGGCGGGGAGCTTTACCGAAGCGATTCTGCACTACACCCATGCCATCAAGCTAAGTCCGAACGATGCGATTCTCTTCAGCAATCGTTCGTTGGCATTCCTGAAGCTGCAGCAGTACTACTATGCCAACGAAGATGCCGATTCGGCCATTGCTCTGAACCCGACCTGGGCCAAAGGGTACTTCCGGAAGGCCGAGGTGCACATGAGCGTCGGGCAGTACGACACAGCACTGTTGTCCTACGCGAAGGCTCTGCAGTTGCAACCGCAGGACATGGGCATCATACAGGCTGCAAGAAAGGCAGCCGACTTGAGCAATCAAGACATTGAGAAGGAAAAGCGGACGCCGGCGCTGGGTGCTGGCATCGGGTGCGTCGTGGGAATGCTAATCGTTTTCGCCGACATGTTGATGACGGATACACCGACGATAAAAGTATAACTTTTATATTTGATTGTTTAGGGAATATTGATACTAATGCCTTCTTTCCAGTACACATCGCTGATGGTGCTAGTGGTGCTAGTTGTTGCCGGTATCGGTTTCGGAATAGCCAAGATGATTCGATACTACACCAAATTGCAACGCAAAGGACTTTTGGATCCACCGGTTAATCTTCTAGAAGGTATCTAATTGTCAAGTCACGCGGTCCCGTTCAAAAACTACATTTTCTCACCATTCGAAACAGATTTCCAATCAACCAAAGACGCGGAGGAAACCGAGAACGGTGGTGTTGGCGAGCAGAAGCCACCCCGGAATCGCTACTCCAAAGCTCAGGCTAGGCAGCGGTTCAAAAAAGGCAAAACATAATTCTCACTTGGACGGAACGTTCTACAAAAAGAAAATCTTGAATGCTAGTCCCCCCTGTCTTGGTGAGAACCGAAACGACCCGATGCGGCAAATATCGAAAGTAGGTAATTCCAGTTAATTTGTCATTTCTAAAAATTCCATCTTGCCTAGGTATATCAAATTCAGACAGTCGAATCACAAACAACAGAAGCATTTTGCACCCCCTCCAAAAATATACAGCTTAGAAAGCACGATTTTCTACAAAAATTTCTGTAACACAGGAGTAGAGCGAAGAACTGGCCCAGGATTAGATAAAGGAATTACGGTATCTGTCGACTAGAGTGTCCTTCTTAATTTTAAAAAGTAGTTGAAAATTTACGATGCGTTAGCTTTTATTATAACCACTGTTTAAAACTAATTTTTACATCCCGCGATTACTTTTACTTTCCAACTCAATTGTTAGGTGTTCTTTCTAGTATGTAATGGACAAGTGATGGCATTTTGAATACATTTTGTGATATGCATAGCAGATTGCTGCATATGAAAACATGGTGAGTACGTGGTAATTTACTGGCTCTGTTGTTTATTTGCTTCGAAAGACAAAAACAAAAACGTCCATCGATGGGTAGGCGAAGTTTTGTCGAATGTTTCAGTCAGTTTATATCTTATAAGTATCGGACATAAGTGAACTGTCGCTATTCGCATAATAGGCCCACGTAGGTAGGAAATTCCATATGACATGGGACTGTCATGCGAATAGCTTTTTCTCCAACAAGGTTCCACAGCAAAAAAAATATAATAGGTATCTATCAGCTTGATTCATGTTGATGTATCAAATCATTGCCAACATTTCAAAGCGGCAAAATTACTGGCATTAGCCGTCAATTTCTTGCGAATAAAAGCTCATACATACATGCAATGTAACGACACCATCAGGTTCAGTGTTCGGAAACACAAAAAAACTCAAATCTCATGCATGAGTTTATGCGCCTATGAGTTTTGCCTTGCAAAATTCAACGTCGCAAAAATCACCGATGAGTTTTCAGGTTCAAAAATTCATTGCTTTATATTTTGACGTTATTCATTGTTATTACTATTGTTTGTGCATCAGGGGTTGGAAAACTAACACAACATGCATAGGCATGATATTAATTGACGTTTGAGTGGTTTTCTATGAGTTTAAAGCTGTAATGATTTTTCGGCGTTGTGAGTATGAGTGCGTGAATATGCATTAGAATTTCAGGCGTTAATTTGGCAAGATTGCATAAAGCAGATACAATATTATACTCAACCAAATATTCGCCTTAATCATATGTGTTAAACTTCATAGATTGTTGCAATCGACGTTTACAATTAAGATGTATGAATCTTCACACATAGGAAAGTTCAGTTCAATTCCATATTGGTTCTATGTGGTATCATTATAGATTCTATATGCTGTTGTAATTGTAATTGTAATTGTTCTAGGCTGTGCCAACCGCTAAGTTGGCTTATCTAGGGTCGGGTCTAACCCCCTAGTCTATACACCTACTATCCTTCCCGTTGCACTCGTCAGCTCATGCGATACTCTAGACACACATGGGTGATCGTATCCGGGTCCTTCCCTGCGTAGGCTCGTGTCCGTCCAGGTTCTGGTACATTAACTTATCTCTATGCATGGTAATTATACTTTACAACTCACCTTTTGATAAAAATGTCAATAATGCTGAAACTATATTAACGTTAGTGATCAATATTAGATGTGTGCTGCGATGGAGTAGTAATTGAAGGAAATGAGGTTCTACCACAAACGAAGTGACAGACGACTAACTGGCGAAGAAATCCATTTAAATAATGTGGTTCACTGTAATAGAATTTTCTTGGAAGCTTGTGCCATCATCCACCAGATGGGTTAGTTTTTTTGTTTTGATTTGAACAAAGTTGATTTTGTGTACAATGATTCTTTGACAGTGTGCAAAGAGTGCGTATCATTTTGTCATTTTTTTATGGATTTCAGTTTTGAGTAGAGTGAAAGAGATAGAACCAAAACATTCTAGTACATTTGGTGCAAATGCTAGTTCAATCTAGTAGAAGTGTTGCCATGTGGTACAATCCAGTAGTAGTGGTGTTGCCATGTGGTACACTGAAAAATTGCAATAGCAGGTTAGTCACCAAAGTTTTCGAGCCGCTCCGTCTGTCACTTCGTTTGTGGTTCTACTGTGGATTGAAGGTAATTCTAAAATAGATAAATCATGCAAGCACACACCTTTCACAATACTTATCCTACTTACTAGTTCCGTCCAGTATAAATTGGCTGTCTCTGACCAACGTGATCCTTTCTAGCTGCTTACTTTTTGTCTGATGCATGTCTTATTTAATTCTTCTTTTCTTGTTCACGCTTTCTCGCTATGTTTCCTCCTATTGAACATCTGGCCGTGTTCCCATTTGTTCTCCGGCAGGTAATATTGGTACATGAGAGGAAGAAAAGAAATAGAACAAGTTAAGTGTGAGCCGCATGCGTTGGTTAGTCGTTTGGGTCATGGTGTTGTGTTCCCTATTTTCTTTGCCTCTATTTCGCTCTCACTTTTCCCCTTCCCCCAAACTATTATGGGTGAAAAAGAGAACCCATATTTGGTAAGCTCTCGCGAGCGCAATTCACAAGATATTAATAACAAACTAATCTAGAACTGGGCTCAAACATATCACATTTTCTAAAACTGATCATGATTAATATAATTTGAATAATGAGAATTGTATGAAGAAAAGACGATCCCAAAAGAAAGTTCTCTTGCAATAAAACTATTACTCTGTGCTAATCTGAGTTTCAAAATGGGAATACAATACCCGATCTCAACAAACTGTACCGAAAATTATAGATTCTATATGCTGTTGAACTAAAATGAATTAGATGTAACTTACGTATCCGAGTGTTTATTACAATAGAATTAAATCTATGAGACACATGATGGTCATATTCTTTTGTTAATTACGTTATATAAGGAAATACTATGTTAAATTAATATTTTTGAGTTCCAAGTGGTAAGTATTTTACTATTTAAAGATGAATTGCAGGTACACATTTTCTTTTTTTCTCTTCAATAAAGCAAGAATTATCCTTCTTAGTTCACGGCGAATGAGAACGACTCAAATTTGAGTTTAGTTCACTCATAATCGCCAAAAGTGCAGGAACTCAGCGATGAGTAAAATTTGTCTCATGGTTTCCTGTGGAAAACCTAAAAAATCTGCCGGAAAATGTGGAAATTGACGAAAATTTTATTCAGTCTTAGAGTAGTACCAATAGACTGAGTGAATCCAATCTTTACTTTTCTCAAATTCGGGAATTTTTCCTTGGAAAATCCTGGGAAAACATGAGGCAAATTAACTCATCGCTGAGTTCCTGCACTTTTGGCGATTATGAGTGAACTAAACTCAAATTTGAGTCGATCTCATTCGCCGTGAATTCATATTTGATGATGTCGATGACTATCTTGCTGGAGCGATTCAAACTCGCACTGAACATCCTGCACTAAAGAGCCTAAATTTATAAAGAGGCGACATGTCAAAATTGAAACAATCGATTTTCTGTCAAAGAAAAAGTCATTCCAATCGAACAGAAGACCTGTCAAACGGATAAGATGTCGTCTCTTTATAAATGCAGGCTCTTTAATCCTGCACCATATCCCTAATGCCTTGTTCAGACTGGAGAGTTACCTCTATGGTTATAACATGTTATAACGGTTGTCAAATAATTGCAACACAGAGACCACCATCAAGATAGCGCTATAACATGTTATAACTCTTTAGTCTGAACGTACTATAACCAACCGGTGGAAACTTACGATTTTAAATTGGCTCACTACTTGACTAGCCTATTGGTCCCAAGCAGACGATTAACGTAGCCCATTCTAGTCGAAATTATAGTGCTACACAATGTTTGTTTTGATTCGCTATGAAAGTTTGACAGATAAAATGAGGGGTTCGTGGATTTTCCTATGTTTCGAGGGGTGCATCGATTAGCTTGGGACCGAAGAGAGTACCAGTGCTGAGCCAAAAAGTTGAGCACGTTTCATCGGGACCTTTTGGTCTTAGAGTTAGCTCTATGCTATAACTAGTAGCAACAATCAATTCGAAACTAACGATTTGAAATTGGCTCACTACTTGACTAGTCTATTGGTCCCAAGCAAATCGAATAAAGTACCCCATTGTAGTCGAAATTCTAGTACTACGCAATGTTTGTTTTGATTCGCTATGAAAGGTTGACAGATAAAATGAGGGGTTATTAGTTTTTCTTATGTTGCGAGGGGTGAATCGATTAGCTTGGGACCGAAGAGAGTACTAGAGCTGAGCCTATTATAGGCTAGTCAAGTAGTGAGCCAATTTAAAATCGTTAATTTCGTATTAATTGTTGTTATAACAACCATAGAGGTAATAGTACCAACAATCAATACGAAACTAACGATTTTAAATTGGCTCACCACTTTAGTAGCCTATTGGTCCCAAGCAAACGATTAACGTACCCTATTCTAGTTGAAATTCTATTACTACACTATGTTTGTTTTGATTCGCTATGAAAGTTTGACAGATAACATCAGGGGTGTGTGGATTCATGCAGAACATGCAGGGGTGAGTGAAATAGCTTGGGACTGTTTGGGACCGTTGTTCTGGTACTGAGTGAGCCAAAAATAATAATGATTTTCCTTTTTTTTACCTCTATGGTTTAACTCTAAGACCACTGGGTCCCGAAGAAAATCATTATTATTTTTGGCTCACTCAGTACCAGAACAACGGTCCCAAGCAGTCCCAAGCTATTTCACTCACCCCTGCATGTTCTGCATGAATCCACACACCCCTGATGTTATCTGTCAAACTTTCATAGCGAATCAAAACAAACATAGTGTAGTAATAGAATTTCAACTAGAATAGGGTACGTTAATCGTTTGCTTGGGACCAATAGGCTACTAAAGTGGTGAGCCAATTTAAAATCGTTAGTTTCGTATTGATTGTTGTTATAACTCTGTAGTCTGAACTAGAAATACTAAGAGGGAGAGATAGGTGGAGAAAGCAAAATACAATTCGGCAGCAGGGATTTGTACCTAAATCTAGGGGCAGATCACTTGTGGTGCATTTATTATAACAAAAAATAAATAAATGCATTTTGACCAGACAAAAAAAAATGCATTTTCTCAGTGCATTTTTGTAGCGTGATGCTCTAAGTGACAGTTCCTACCAAAACATGTTGTTTTTCACATCGGTTCGCTCAAATTCACACTCCTGACTCGAGATTTTTTTTTCCTGAAGCTCCTCGACCAAGAATGCGGAAAAATCCGTCAAAATTCCCTGTAGTCGATGGGAGCATCGGACGCAATAAACTCTGATGAAACCTCCATTGGCAGCACCGAAAATCTCCATCGAACTCTATCCGACGTGAACATTTGAATCTTCCCGGAACATCCGTAACATACTAAATATCCACCGAAATCATGCTATGGTATTCTCTCCGCCGTGTGTCAAAATCGAAAACCTCCTCCGAAATCGTGCTAAGCCCGCTTCACCGAGAACGCGAGAAAACCCCGTCAAAATTCCGTTGAAGCTTCGTTGGCAGCATAGCAAATCTCCACCAGAATCTTGTGGAAGCTCCTTCACCGAAAACACGAGGAAATGATTTAGAAATTCTGGAACATCCGTTGTTAGCACCGACAATATCCACCGAAATCGTACTTCTCGACCGTGCACACCAGAAAACTGCATCGAAACTACCTGGAACCTTCGCTGACAAAATCAGAAACCTCCACCGAAATCGTGCAGATCCTACTCCGCTGAGAAAATTATTTGGAATCTCCACTGGAAGCATCAGAAATCGCCACCGAAACCGTGTGGAACCTCGTCCGCCATGAACGCAAGAAAATGCCATCGAAATTTTGTATTTCGCATTTTTTTTAATTGGTCATACCTTATGTAATTGGGTTCTTTAAGGGTATTGAAGTAAATGCATATTCGTAATCTGCATTAAAAATGGAACCCAAACCCAAAATTTCATCAATTTTTGTAGACTGGAACTATTTTAAATAAGTACAATTACATTTGCAAAAATCACCTTATTAGCGCCCCTCGGTGTCACTTTGTATGGGAGCGAGCTGTCAGTTTGTCAGTTTAGTGTCAAACAGTGAAGTCATTATTTTGCTATAAATCTTGATTTAAAAATCGAGATGAAAGTGTGTGGGTTCGAAAAAAATATCGCTGTGCTCGGAAAACGAAGCTCATTCAGAATATATATAAAAACCGATATATTTTTCAAAATTAAAGAACCCAATTGTAATTGTTATTTATTTAGTCAAACGTAATTCGTAAATTACGTAGTTTAGTCAAACGACGAACAAGAAAAACTTTCCTAGAATCTGCGTTTGCAGCATCTAGAACCGTCTCCAAAAGAATTCATACAGAACCTCCTCCACCGAGAACGAGAGAAAATCTCGTTGTCAGCATCCAAACTCTTCACTGGCCGAATCTCCTCCGACGATAATGCGTGGAATCACCGTCGAACTCCCTGAGAACCTCCGTTGTCAGCGCAGCATATAAATTCTCTAGTCCACCGAAATCGTGCGGATAGACGATTTTTCTTTTCATGTTTTGTTTGTATACCTACCTTGCTTTGTTTTGACGTTCACATCCCACTGAATGGTTGATGTAAACGATGGAAATTAAATGCATTTTATAAAAAAATAAATAAATACATCGTCAATAAGCATTTTAAAAGTGAGATTTGAACTGCTAACGGAAATTTTCTCCGCAGGAAAAGTCAATCAACGTCTATTGAATACCCTTAAAGAACCCAATTAAATTTATTTTTTCTTCGATGATTAAGTTTTTAAACTTTGTTTCGCAATTACTATAGAGTAAAGCATGAAATTTACAACCGGATAGAGGAAAAAACTCGATTTGTGTATTTTTGCGACCTACGTCCTTTTGAAAACTTATGCTTGAAGTGTATATGGGAAATTTATTATAGATGTTACCATTAAGAACAACAGTGATATCTGAAGGAAAATTAACGCTGAAACATGGTAACATGATTAATTGTTCACAGAGGACAGTGCAGTGCAAAACATGTCTGGCACCTTTATATATCAGGCATAACATTTGATAACGGCACAAAAGCATTTGTAAACAAACTTTCTAGGGCTCTTTACACGTGAACCAAAGTACGCCCACGCAAACCAATACCACTTGTCTTTTGGAAAGGTGATAGTTGCCCCGATCAGATGATGTTGCTGGTTTGCGTGGGCGTACTTTGGTTCGCGTGTAAAGGGCCTTAGAAAGTTTGTTTACAAATGCCTTTGTGCCGTTATCAAATGTTGTGTCTGATATGCATTTAGATTAATATTCGAAGAATACATGGCAAATTGAGAGATTGAGCACGTGAGAGAGAATTTTCTTTCTGAAATTTGTATTTTTTGGCTCTCTGGGAACTGGTATTTGAAGAAGAAAAATACTTGTTTTATTTAATTGCAGCTTGTTTAACAAAAATTCCCAGGAAACAAATGAACGACAAAGCCGACAAAGCCTATGAATTATTTCTTTAGGTTGTCGTCAGCTTCTTTTGTCCAGAATATGCATCAAAGGCGTATTATTTTCACTATTACCAATATCTATACAGGGATTTTTTTTATTTACTATCAGTGGGACAACACCATCAGCGTGAAAAATAGCCTTGACTAAATGGTGCATCTAAGCGTGTTTTGACCGCACTGCCATCTGTTATCAATTAACGGGACTAAGTGTAGACACTTAGTTTTTTCTACCGAGCTCGGCTGTGCAAATCTCGGCAAAAATAGGTTTCACTGAGATCTCAGCAAAAGTGACATTTGATAGCTGAGTCTCGGATAATGCTTAACTGAATCTCAGCAAACAAATGAAATGTTTGCTGAGATCTCTGTAAAACTTTTTTTGTCGAGATCTCGATTGAGATCTGTACAGGTCGGTAAAAAAAACTAAATGTATATGGGTAATTTATTATAGATGTTACCATTATGAACAGCAGTAACATCTGAAGGAAAATTAACGCTGAAACATGGTAACATGATTAATTGTTCACAGAGGACAATTTCTATATAGGGATTTTTTTATTTACTACCAATGGGACAGCGCCATCAGCGTGAAATTAGCCTTGACTAAATGGTTCATTGTTCACAAAAGCAATTGGGTTCTTTAATTTAAAAAAATATATATCCGGTTTTATATAACATCTGAAAGAGCTTCGTTTTCTGAGCACTCCGATATTTTTTTCGAACCCACACACTTTCATCTCGATTTTTAAATCAAGATTTAAAGCAAAATAATAACTTCACAGTTTGACACTAAACTGACAAACTGACAGCTCGCTGCCATACAAAGTGACACCAACAATCAATACGAAACTAACGATTTTAAATTGGCTCACCACTTTAGTAGCCTATTGGTCCCAAGCAAACGATTAACGTACCCTATTCTAGTTGAAATTCTATTACTACACTATGTTTGTTTTGATTCGCTATGAAAGTTTGACAGATAACATCAGGGGTGTGTGGATTCATGCAGAACATGCAGGGGTGAGTGAAATAGCTTGGGACTGCTTGGGACCGTTGTTCTGGTACTGAGTGAGCCAAAAATAATAATGATTTTCTTCGGGACCCAGTGGTCTTAGAGTTACCTCTATGGTGACACCAAGGGGCGCAAATAAGGTGATTTTTGCAAATGTAATCGTACTTATTTAAAATAGTTCCAGTGTACCAAAATTTATGAAATTTTGGGTTTGGGTTCCATTTTTAATGCAGATTACGAATATACATTTACCTCAATATCCTTAAAGAACCCAATTTCACCCTAAAAAAATGTGTTGGCATCGAAACGTTCCGATGCGTACCCCTCGAAGCCTCCACTGTAGATCAGCTGACAGCGCTGTCATTGTTGACAGTCACCGTCCAGTCCCCCGTTCGGGGACCGAGAGCTTGCCTGACAACCGTTTTCGGCTGTCGCTCGTGTTTTTACCTTCACGTCGCGAACTGTTGCGAAGTGTCCGTTCGGTCGGTTCGGGTTCGCCAATCAGTCGCAGTGTGTGGAGTGCGGGAAAAGGAACTGTGTGTGACTCGCTGCGCGTGCCAAACGCAACTCAAGAAAGAAAAGCAAACAAGAAGAAGAAATCCGTTTCTAGAAACGAATTTGAAGAAAATACACGGGAAAATAGGCAGGAGTGCTGTGAAGAAAAGGCAAAAAAAAAACTGGGGATTTTATTCGCGACTCTCTCTCCGTTTCGATTTTGTTGGTCATTTTCCTTCAGTTTTGCGCTAGTTTTAGTTTTCATCAATTCGGTGGAAAAATATCCTACATAGTTTCCCTGGTTGGGGTTAAATTTTCCTTCCTACCGTTCCGTGTTTTGAGTTAAGTTCTTCGGTTGGATCGGTTTTTAAGTAGAGTTAAGAGTTCCCGTTTCGCAACCGTGTGCACCATTTTCGGTGGCAAAAACAGTGGAAAAGTTGAGAAATTTGTGCAAAATGTGAGTATTATTCGCAAGATTTGTGAAGGAAAAAAAAAAATTGAAGCAAAGAAGTCGGTGTGTGTGAGTGTAGAAAAAGAAGAAAAAAACGAGTCCAAGGCTGGCCTCTCTGGAAGAGTGAGCGCAATGGTCGCGCGGTGCAGTGTGTGCGCCGGAGCGAGATGGCACCTTGGTTGAGTGAAGAACGACTGTCTTACTGCTCTCGGTGTGGAATTTCCCAACAATAATTTCGTGGCTTGCTCAAAGTGTTGTTTTGGAATTGAAAAAAAAAAAAGTTTCAATGTTTAGTTTTTCCTCCTGGCAATGGGTTACTATGACTGACGGAATGAAAATTCCAATGTTTGGCTGAAATTTAAAATATGTTTACATGGAAAATTTTTAATTTTTAGAAGTTTATTGGATAAAAAATGGTAACCATTGCCTGGGTGGTTCGAAAATGATTAGCTTTCCGCGGAAAAATATTGACAAATTACCGTTTTTCGCAGTACAAAAAGGAAGACTGGAATACGATTTTTCGTGATCGTGATGTGTGTGCGTGTGTGGCTTTTTGTCTGTGTTTGATCAATCGAATCAAGATAGGCAAGAGGTGAGACAAGTGAGTCCCAAAAAGGGGTTGAAGAAAAGTACAAGTTTTTCCCGAAATAAAAGTTGGAAAAGAGGATGTCACTACCCCACAAAGGAACAAAAAAAAAAGTCCAACAAATGGGAAGCAACATTTTGCCATACGGAACCACGATTGAGGAATGAAAAGTGCCAGCGTAGTAGGCCTTGAGAGCAACGTCTCCATTGGGTTTCTCTCGATGTTCCCATTTCGAGGGGCCTACTTTGATTGGTAACTGAATAGAGAGAAATCATACGGCACCAGTTGCTCATTCCGTTCCGTTTTAGAGGAATAGTAGTAGTCCATTCTATAACAAAAAAATAAGTCCAGATTTTCAAAACATGCCGGAACAGGGAACATTTTCCTCGTAGACAAAAGAGCTGCTAGATTGCAGGAAAAATCGAGCTTTTCCTTCCTCATCATCAGACACCATCACCATCTCACGGGTGAGCGCTTCTCACGCACACACACGGGCGGTGCACACCGTCGCCGTGTCTTCCTTCGATGACGGCGAAAAAATCGTATTATTGAAACCGAAAAAAAATCACCCAACCATTTTCGCACAGAGATGTAAAATAAAAATCGCGAGTGTGATCGAAAAGAAGATATTTTTTTTTCCATATATACAAATCGTGTCCGCGTGTGCGAGAGTGTTTGTGTATGATTATTGCCTATATAATATTTGCCTATTATTACCGTCAGCGCACCATTACCACCAGCACCACCACCACCACCAACGAGCGGAAAAGAGTAGTGTTGCACTCAGAGAGCAAAATATAAAAATATTTCATTGAATTTTTACGTGGCAAAAAAGGCGAAACACACCGACGACTGACCGTCGACGATAGATCGCAAACCAGTAGCAGAAGCAGCAGCAGCAGCAGTGCCATCTATCTGATTACCGTCGTCCGAAGACGTCCCAGTAGCCGTTGATTTGATAATTGACTTCTGCTCGAACCGATCGCAGCAAACAAAGGGAACAGAAATCACAACAAGAACAAATCCCTAAACCCCTAATCCAAGGAACCTGCTGCACGAGTGTCTAGGGTAGGGTAATACTTGTTGTTGTCACCCCACACGCAACAACTATAACAAAACGTCAGACGACGAAGGCACCTTTTTGCTGCTCATACCCCCCCTCATACGTTTCGTTCGTTCGCTCTGTGCTCCTCCTCCTCCTCTGCCTCCCAGTTGCTACTCAGTTCTATCAGCTCTCTCTCCTGCTGCTCTGACTGATTCGACGGCAGAGGCGGCGACGACCACGACGACGACGACGACGACGACTACGACGAGTGTGTGTTGTCTCTCTCAAGATGGCCGCCCTGTGCGCTGGGAGCTATGGATTGTCCCAGCAGCATCAGCCTCAGAATACCAACGACAACAAGGAACGGATCTTCGTCAAGCTGACCGACTCGGCCCTCCGGGCGATCGAGGAGTTCCAGCGAAATCAGGTGAGTGTGGGCTGTCTCTGCTTTTTAGGTGGGTGGGTGGGAATGGTTGTCATTTGGGGGGGAGGGGTGAGGGTTGGGGGGGGGGGGTTTCGGACCGGATGTAGATACTGTTGGTTGCTAATCGTATTGGGAGCGATGCCTATGAACCTTTTTCGAAGCAGATTGAGGGAGTTCATGTGGTTTGTTTGATCCAATTGATTGTCCCGATACGGGACTCTGCAAGGATGGGTAGTTAGGATACAATTTCATTGGATTTGGAGTTTTTTTTTCGAGTCTACCATATGTCATACAGGTACTTACAATCTCAAACAAGCCTGCTAATGATAAATAGGGTAGATGTACCAGTTATGGCTATACGTTCCTATTATGGTGTGTTCCAGTTATGGACTATGGGAATTCCATAGGACAGCATAGCCCTAACTGGCACATCTACCCTACGACTTATTTAATATTTCAAAGCCCAATATTAGTTGTATGTTAGCCTTGTATTGCAAAAAGGTTTATTAGCTTACTGGTTATATGCGATGCTCATTACGTACGATTTTCCATCGGAGGTATCTGGCCACGAAATAGCCTTGGGTTAGTAGGGAATGGAAGCATATGGAATAGAAATTATAGCGGGATTAAACACAAGTGTTTCATATGCAATATGGAGAGCCACCGGATTAATTGCTGTTCCTAGTGGAAAGTCCAGGATCAGTCAGAAAAGCAAATGCTATGGGTAAGGAAATAACCTTGTCAAGAAGAGAAATAAATTAGAACAGTAGTTCTCAAACTAATGTTGATTGTTTACCAATATTGAATACATGATATTAACGTTGAAAGCTACAAAAAGTACCTGGAATTCTCAGGCAATCTCATTATTACACCGGTAATTTAAAAAATTGCTTACTAAAGAAGAAAAGAATGCATTTTAAAATGCAATCATTTAATTTTCATCGTTATTTTCAATCACACATTGTACTTTCAGTGGCGTCGCTTAACCTCACTTTTTACCTGTACAATCACTTCGAAAACGTTATTTAGAGTCATATTTTTATTCAAATCAGCCTCAAAATGCGTAGGGTCTTCTAGTTTCACTAAATTGTATTGATTCAATGTAATCTATTTTTATTTGTTTACGTTTTGAGAGTTGTTGAACAGGTAGATGGAGGTTAGGTCGACACCACTGTGTACTTTATAGATCCAGAATCAATTAATCTTCAGTAAAAACTCATGCAATTTTATTATAATTTCTAAGGACCTCATTCCAAGGGAGTTCTGGGATTTTTTTTTGAAACACATCAAATGCAATGACGATGACAGGAGCACATACAGCGGTATAGGAAACAATAGCTGCAATTTCCAAACCTAACGACTAGATGCTTACGTCAGAGGACGACTTGAGTGTGAAACAATCGATAGAACTGTGTCCGCACATCGAAGGTACACGAGCTAATCGGCAATCATCTCTTTTGCTAGTGGTGGTTGGAGGAGATACCCCTCACCATCCCTCCCCAACGGGGGAGTTTGGTAAAAGAGATGATCAACCCGAGTCGTACCTTCCTCAAAATTGACCTTTGCTCGCTTTCTACTCTCTATGTACAGTTTTCACACTGCCGTACTCTAACGGAACTATCGACTCTATAATTTCATCTCCTCATCTATCGTATTAAATGACCACTTTAAGTCTGATATTTACCGTTGAGCATCTCAAACTATATAGAATTTCAAGATAACCCTGCATTGAATTCAAAATCAATTTTTATGAAAACTCATAGGAATTTCTGAGGAGCATGACTCCTATGAATTTCAGAGAAAATTCCAAGGGTATTCTGAGGATAATCTCGTTAAATTTGTGGGAGAAAACGAATCCGTAGCCATAAGTCCTTGGAGAATACTTACAAGACCAACAATGGAAATTGCCTTAACTCCATTTTGTAAACAAACCTTGCAAGGCCATTTTCTCGCGAACCGAAACCTTCATTCGCAAACCTAAACCACAATTGGGTAGAGGAGAATTTCCCCTTCCTGTTCATTATGTTGGTTTGCCTTTGCGGACTTCGGTTCGCGAGAAAATGGCCTTACAAGGTTTGTTTACAAAATGGAGTTAAGGCCATTTCAATTGTTGGTCTTGACTTAAGGGGTGATGCTAAAAGGAGGATTCCAATTAACTCTGCGAATAACTCCAGGACATCTTCAAAGGGATTCGAAATAGAATTTCAGGAAAGTTTGCCAAACAAATTATGAAGAGAAATGCAAATGAGAACTTAGGAGACCTTCAATGTGAATAGAATTCCAAGGGAAGGAGTGAGATTCGAAAGGAAATCTGAAATTAATTCAATGAAAATTATGAGAATTTATCCAAAGGGAGAAGAGAAGAGAAGTATTCTAAATATATTCTGTTGATATTTTTTAGAGAATTATTCAGAGAAGCATTCCTAGTTAATTTCTAGAGTAATTCCATGAGAGTTTGCTGAGGAAAACTGCAAGTGAATTTCAATGAGATATCTCGTTGAATACTGAGGTCTCCAGAATTACTTGAATGTTTTCAAAATTGTTTGAAGCTAATGAAACTGCCTTTAAGTTCTTTTGTAGTTTGAGGAACTGGCCTGATAGTTCTTCTCATCAAATTTTTACTTTTTCGGACTTCCTAAACTTTCCTAAATTTTTTTAAAGTTTTAACAATTCGCTGAAGTTCTCGAAACTTCTTTAAAATGTATGTAATTCAGTGGCGTCGCGTCCACATGTGCAACCTGTGCACGACACAGGTGTAAACAATTTAAAAAATGCGTTTAAATTTTTATAGATTTTATGGACACATTATAGCTGTACTTCTTGACTCCAAACCACAAGCGACCATGAGTACACTATTTTATCGGGTGGTTCAATTAAATATCTTCGACCTTGGTTTGCTTCAAAAAGGGTTAAATTCAGTTGGGATGGTCTGCCCATGTCGAAATCACTACCATGACAAAACTCGTTAAATAGTGCACCTAAAAGTGAGCTCTTTTGGGTGGCGGGTAGCAAGTTTGTGAATGGTCAAAAACCTGATGTAAGCCAAGCAGACCTTCTATCACCTCTTGAAACATACCACAAATTTTCCACAATACATGGCGTTTTGCACCACTGGTTGTAATTGAAGCTTTCAGCAGTCACGCGTCAAACGGGAGCAACACGGAAACAGCAGTCTGGTACGCTTTGGACGTTATCATACTTGCAGACCGGTTTGAATGTGTGAGTTTAAATTAGAAGAACATTTGTTATGTATGGGTGCCCAAAGTGTGCATTTCTCGCTGTGCACTTGGATATCTGATTGCAGACAAAGAGAGTAATGGAGAAAGAGAGCGCAAAAGCCCGCTCTCACTCTCGTGTCAGTTGTGAATCTCTCAATTACCGATAGTGCGCCTGTCAAAACTTGTGAACTTCCCCTGGTTCATTCTGATAGTGTTATTCTGATGAATAAAGAGTTGATTAATTCAAGTTCGCTACCCAGGGAACTATGAATTTTCTCTAGATATTGACATTGTTTTGTATAAAAAAAAATTTCGGAAGTGTTTGACTGATATATTTTATTACACTTCAGTCGAAAGAGTTAGCCTTTTGATTAAAACGAGAATTCAAGCTGAACATTGCATTAGGTCCTAAATAACATTGACAGATTCTCTCCGTCAACTTTCTCTTTGTATCTCCACGGCCATGTAAATGCATTCCCAAGTATTTTCAGCACGCAGATCGATAAAAAAAAGTTTTTGTCTAGCATCTAAAACGACAAACACAACAAGAAATGGTTATGTGCTCAAGTTACTAACGAAATAGAAAGTCGACGAAGAGAATCGATCAATATTACTTAGAACTTAATGCAATGTTCAGCTGGAATTAGTTAAGTTTTGCAAATCCTCCTACTTCGGCTAACGTGAAAAGGGCCATACAAGTTTTGTTTATACAAGATATAGGTTCTTCAAATGTTACGTTAGGTAGTGATTAATATAGTGATGGAGAATATGTCCCTCGAATTCATGGAGCATTGAAAAATAAAACAAAAACTAACATGTGGTTGTAAACTATAACGAACAAAGCTTGGTGCACAGGTAAACAAATGAGGCACGCGACGCCTCTGATGTAATTCCTATAATGCTAACGGAACTGCTCCGAGATTCTCTTTCTTTCCTGAAGTTATCGAAATTTCAATAAAATTTTGGCAGTCCCCATGAAGCTTGTTGTACTGCCCTGAATTTAATTGAACTGTCCTATAAATTATGTAAACTTTCTCAAAAAATGCATTTTTGAAGTTCTCGAAAAATCTGGGAACTTCCTGAAATTTCCTGCTAATTTTCTGAAGCTAATGGAACTGAAGTCCCCCTGAAATTCCTCCTTATTTTCGGAGCTTACTAAACTTCTTTGAAATGCTCCCGCATTTTGCTAATGTTCATGAAAGTTCCTGAAGCTCTCTGATCTTCTTTCAAGTTCCATAGACTTCAAGGAAGTTCTCGAAATGTTTCTGAACGTCTCTGCACTGCTGTGAAGTTTCCGAAGAATTTCCGGAAATTTCTGGAACTTCTTTAACCCTTTTTCTGGACCTAGCTAAGTTCATTACGAAAATCCTTCAAAACGGGTATAACATAAAATTCGAAATATATCTCAACTAAGAGGCAGGCCTATCAAGAAGACTTTAGCATGCAAAAAATTTCGGAGAAAAAATCGTTTTGATGAATAATTAAAATTGTAAACATTGAATGGGGTCATATTGACAAAGGGTTAAGCAGCCGCAATTTTCTTGGAATCAAAACGAATGGATACCAAAATTAATTAAGTGGAATTAAATGGAAGATAACCTTTTTTGCTGTTTTATTTAGCATTCCGCTAACAACCCAATTTCATTACTTCATCAAAACGAAGCAATTAATATAGTAGTTCTATGATTTTTACTAAAGTTATTAAGATTTTTCTGAAGTTTATGGAACTTTCTTAAAATTATCGACACTAATTCGTAGCTTCTTCAATAGTCAAGACTTTCCTGA